TGTTATTGATATTTAAACTAATAAAAACGCGCAGAGCGTATTCCATTAATATTTTGCATCCAATTAGAGTGCGAATTAAGGAATTATTTTCAGTTGCATTTCGCGTTTCTCTGAGCCAAACAACTTCTTATAAATAGCCACAATTAATTTCAATGAATTAGTCATTTGTTAGTTTTATTCCGAAGTCGCGCAACGTGCATTTTCTTTTTTTTTTTTTTTTTTTCAACCATCGATTTATTCAATTTTTCGTCTCTTACTGTATTGTCTGCTTTTAATCAATATATACTGGCAAGGCGGTGAATGTCAAATTTTCACAAACCCATCATAACAGGCTAATGTCGGCTGCCACCGTTTATACACGCATGCGCATTCGCAGGTCTAATATTAAGGGGAAATGTTCACTACACACAAACGGGGTACGTCAGGTAATTGAGATAAAATTTTGCTATAAAAATAAATGAGATATTCAATACCAACAAAAAAAAAAGCAAATTAGTTTAATTCTTTAACGCCTAGAGTTCAATTTTTGGCCTGGTTGTTAGGGCTAGGGTTAGTGTTATATGGAGAACCCAATAATTTTTATAAACCTATCATTAATACCGGAATTCTTTTATTTGTATTTTTTATTAAAATATATAAGTAACGCAACATCTTTATTTTAATTTTGGTTATTACAGTGAGGATTAATGTGCTTATAAAATATTCGGTCCCGAGTTCAATCCCTGGGTGCGGTAGCTATATATATATATATATATATATATATATATTCACTGCCAGCTTTTGATATCAAAGACTGAAGAATTCCGGAACCGCTGCTGGTGGTGGTATTGGCGATATAGTCAGATTCAGTAGAGGGTCTGACTCGTGAGTGTTAATCTTTAACGTTGTTTCATTGAACAGATTACGTACTGCGCTGTATTCTATATTAATAGACTATGGTGAACATGGTCAACAATTACAAAGTCTCTACTACAACGAGCATTACAAAAGTGGCAACGAGTGTTCGTTGACATCACAAAAATCTTGCATCTGGATTTTATTAAGAATCGCTGAGCACTTGACAGAATCCTCAGGCCTGATGTGGCAGCAGTATTCAACGTATAGGCGAAAGGTAGACTTATAAAGACGTTTAGTAACCCTTATTTCAATTTCAAACATTTTCTTAAATTTCATTGCTTGTTAAATATAAATTCGAGAAATTTCCATAACAGAAAAATCAAATTTTGTGCAAAAGTAAGCTCAAATTCATCTCTAATTTAAACATTTCAATAAATCCCATTGGATTAAGAATTAAAAAATACAATTTCGCCCACGCATTTCTGAGAATTATTGGCAGCATCTGGAGAAAACTTCGTTGAGCCGATTTATTCGTTAAGAAAACTATGAATAGAAACGCCGAACAGGTTTTCGGCGGATTGAAATTCTTACAGACGAGATTTACTCGCGTGCAGAAAGATATTTGTACACGCAAAGGAGATACAACTCGAAGAGACACTAAGAAAACTTAATTCTTATATTGCATTTTTGAAACAAACTTTCTTCATGAGAGATTGGGAGAATTTATACTACAAACTTTCCCATTTGATATCTTTCATAGAAAAAACATTTTGTCTAATTTGAATTTAACCTTTATAGTAAAGGGCAGACAACTTTTTACTTACTTTTGGCATTGAACATTTCTGAAGCAGTTAAGAACTTTTCCTCTTAAGAATACTTTCGTACACATCATTACAAAAAAAAAATTGTAAAATTTTGTACTTAAAATTTAATTTGTTGTTCGAAAACATGTCCTTTTTGTCGTAATTTAATATCGTTACCATTTGGCCATTTATAATTAATGTTTGTGGATATTGCATGTTTTATTTGCTGCACAACTTTTAATAACTCACGCAGCCTTCCTAGATCCACGACAGATGTAAGACGGATTCTGACGAGAAGATTTATCTGGCAGGATACAGTGAACCAAGTTTCCTAGCAGCTGACCTGGCAATTTATTCAATACTAGCAGTAGAGCTCGGCGTTGCCCCGGGGATGTAACAGTAAGAGATAGATCAAGTATCGACCATCATGAAAACTGAAAAATAAAATTGACAAAGATTATTGTTTAACGTTGACGGACACGCATGTCTTAATTAGGTTTTTTTTTTTTACGAATTGGTCAAACCCAAACAAAAACATTGTTTTCAATCGTTATGAGTCTACCGATTGAATAGAATTTTATTATAAACAATTGTCTTGTAAATGGAATTTTTAAAGCATTCTGAATGTAAAAATAAAGGAAAAAGTGTGCAAGACAATAAGAAACACTACCTGTCAAAAAAAAGTGAAGTTTTGTTGAAATCGGTTGAAAAATGTAGGAAATCCGATCCCATATATAAACGAACAGACTCACACAAACAACGTGGGTTTTATAATAAATATAACTCGATATGAGTTTTCCCCCATTCATTCTCGTGACGCCTCTTAATCGTGTTTTCAAATTGATTTCGTGCAAAAACAATTGTGTTTTTCCTAATTTTGGCGCTGTCAGAACCACCGCAAGGTAATTTTACGTAGTCCTGTGAAGTTTTGTTGAAATCGGTTGAAAAATGTAGGAAATCCGATACAATATATAAACGAACAGACACACACACAATCTGATTTCCACTTGATGTCAGCGGAAGACGTTAGCCTTCTCGGGCTAACGTTTTCTAACATAGAGCAAGACAAATATGTCTCAGAAGACTTATCCTCTCATATGTCCTTCGGATATTAGATATTAATAACTGTGACGTGCGTGACGCTTTTTTCTCTCCAGAATCTATCTTACATATCTATAAGTCTACCATTCTTCCATGCTTAGAATATTGCTGCCACATATTTTTCTGCCACTCCTGCTATTTACCTTGAGCTCCTTGATAAGATCTGATATGTCCCGGAAAGGGATATATTTGTTCGAAGTAGCAAAGTCGTTTTGGACTACTGTAACCGAGTAGAACAATCTAGCAGGTAACCGTAATTGACTGGTCCTCGTCGTATTGGTAGGCAATAGGCGTAGGCAATAGGCGAAGACTATAGGTGTAGTCAATAGGCGTCCTCCACGTCAGTCTGTATTTATGGCTGACACCAGCCAATCATATTCCTGTAAGGGGGGACCTAGGTGTATGCATATTCATTACATCAAGATCAAAAGAAAAATTTGCAATATTATTGGTCCTGATCTGGCAGCTCGATTCTAGTCACTTTCCCCCGCCGTAAGGTGGACTCTCTGTGTCTTTTTTTATGGTAATTGTTCGGGCGTTTTATTACTAACACTATTTTATTTAGTTACCTGTAGATGGTTCTTGCTTATATTTGTAAATACAAATTGGGGTTTAGATTTTAAACTGTTTTTAAATTCATCTCCCCGCCCCAGATAAGAATTGTACATTTTACAATAGTTAGGACTTTCATGGCGATTCTGTGGTATTATGGTGAATGTAGTCAGAATGGTAAGTAAGAATTCGTTGTTTTGGTGTAAGCAATTGTTATATAGAAATAAAGTGTCGCTGCCAACACTTGAGTTTGAACATAGATCGCCAGAGAACAAATACAGGCGATCCCATTATTGAATTAAGTAGACAACGTGACCGTAGAGGAAACGCATAAGTAGGAAGTCGCGTGATGTCTAAATGATCGCCATATCAATTCTATCCTCTATTACTATTCGGATCACCATTTCTACTCTATCCTCTGTTACTATATGGACCGCTATTCTCAATATTTCACTAAACGGATTACTTTTTGAGCGAGTATTATCGAGCAAGTACTATTAAGTGCGAGTGTTACTCGAAGGCGTCTGACACCAGTATTGTTCAACGGCGTTACTATAGTTGTATCTGCGTTTACAAAGTCTCTGCTATAAGTGACAACAATTATTCGTTGACCTTACAAAAGTGGCAACGAGTGTTCGTTGACATCACAAAAGGAATATTATAGTATCTTTGGGTCAGTAATTATGACTATCTAAGTTTAATTATAAGACAGAAGCAGACCCCTTTCCTTATTCCCCATTTTGGCCTAGTGCCACACTTTGTGTTTTTATACAATTAATTATCGCTCCTTGCTATGCTACCAAGATTCTTTTTTTTAATTTAAGAGCAATACTATACTGGGGTCGAGATCTCATCAATTGACAGTTGAGCTGGTTAGATGTAACTGTAAATTCTATGCTAGCAGTTTCTTTTCTCGCACTTCACGCTTGTGGAATTCTCTTCCGGCTAAAATGCAATCTAGCTAACTTGAATCTGTAAAAATTTAAATGCAATGTCAGTCGCTATCTACTGTTCTCTTGATTACTCTTTCCTCTTCCTGTTCATTATTAATATTTCTGTTGCTTATTCTTTCACACTCAGAAACTCCTTGTATCTTAGTGGCTTTACTGCCTTGCATGGGGTAAAACCGATCAAAAAATAAATAAAAATTTTTAACAAGGATCTCCGCTTATAGTGTATGTATAACGATAAACAGAACCCTTACTTTGTGTCCGTCAAGGGAACTATACCAATTTGTTTTTCTTTAACCGTAGATAGTTGATATCTAGCTGACAATTTCTTAGCCTGAAGCCAAAGTGTCATAGTGGCTTTATTGCCTTACTTGGGGTGATACCTATTAAAAAAATAATTACAAATCTTTTTTAACAAGGATCTCCGCTTATAGTGTATGTATAGCAATAAACAGAACCCTTACTTTGTGCCCGTCAGGGGAACTAAACCAAATTTTTATCTTTTTCTTCTTTAACTGTTTATGGTAGACATCTAGCTGACAACTTCCTAGCCTCAAACCAAAGTTTTATAAACTTTACTTCGGTGACATTTAACCTCTGATTTTTTTTCCAGTTATGTGGCCAAACAAGACATTAAAAAAAATGTTCTCCTTGGATTTTTAATACAAGTATTAGTCACCAGAGATAGATATATATATATATACATTAACCTGTCAATGATGTTTGTAAGTACCTACAAAAGAATATTATTTAGGTCTTACGGCCATATCACGTTGAAACACCAGTTCTCGTACGATCTTCGAAGTTAAAGCAAGGTTGAGCTTGGACAGTGCCTATATGGGTGACCGTTTTGGGAATAGCAGCTACTGTAAGATAGTTGTTAACCATTACAAAACATTTCTGACGTTTTTAGCGAAGATCTTCACTTACAGTGAATATGACGAGTGTAAAGTGTAACGAGTACGTCCGGGTACTGTCTGTCAGTAAAGAACACCGGCCACGTTCACCGGTCCACTTTATATATTATGCCAAGGGCAGGTAACTCTGTCTCAGCTTGTTTCGCAGGGGCAGATAACTCTGTTCTCATCTACACAAGGCGTTAGACTAAATCGTTATCTTCTTTTTTTTTCTTTATCTGTATAAAGTAGACATCTAACTGACAATTTTCTTAGCCTGAAACCAAAGTTTTATTAAAGCTTTTCTTAGACAGAAGATAACGATTGACATTTTTGAATAAAATTTGACTGGGAAGCAAAAAGCCGGAAGAGAGTTCCACAAGGGAAGAAACGGTTAGCCTAGAACTTTTGGTTGCATTTGGCAATCGCAACAGTAAAATGATGGGACCTAGCTGCCAATCCAGCGCTTAAATTCATAAAGTCACGGTATCAAAAGAGGAAAGCTCATCAGAAAAATTACCATGAAAATATTTATAGAAAAAGTCACAGGGAAAATACATTGTGTCGGTAGTGGAAAGTGACTGAAGCCAAGGACTGATAACATTTCAGATTATTCTTTGGGCTTTATCAAGTTGGAGAAAGTGTTTGCTTTTCTTGTGGGGTTACTTCTTTTCTCTGCCAAAGACACATTGTTATGGTTGAAAGATGGCGTCGCCAAAAGCATCTTTTTATAAGATCTATTTAGTTTATTTCCCTACCGTTTATATATCGTGCTATAATAAAGGAAATATGGACATAACTGAGAAGAATCCTTTCCGAGAATCTGAATAACCATGGTAGATGGCCATGGAGCTTCTTTGGTATGTTTCTGTGTTTCGTAGGACGCTCTTTCCAGGATTGTTTCAATGTAAAACGTACCATCCTTGCATAAATACAATCTAGCTTCGTTTACATTCACTTTGTTAATGTCTCTGCTGTGTATTTTTTTAATCATTTCACCCCCAAGCAAGACAATAAAGTCACTAAGACGCAAGGGGTTACTGAGTGAATGACACTGAGAAAACAATCAGGGATTAAGAAGACAGAAGATTGCATTTAAAGTTTTGAAAATCAAATTTGACTGGGAAGCAAAAAGAGTTCCACAAGAGAAGAATCAGTTATGGTCACATTTGGTCTGGCTTTAGTTGGTTTTACGACATATCAATCTCAACGGGTTATTTAATGCCGACAACATTTTTAGAATAGATTCGTATGAATAGAATATGTATGCCGACAACATTTTTGGTTTAGATTGTATTTTTTTGGTTTATTTTGTTTATTTTTTTTACGGAATATCAACCTCAATGGGTTATTTAATGCCGACAACATTTTTAGGATACATTCTTATGAATAGAATATGTATTCTTTGGTTTAGATTGGTTTGGTTTATTTTGTTTTACGGCATATCAAACCTCAATGGGTTATTTAATGCATTTTTAGGATAGATTCGTATGAATAGAATATGTATTCAAGATTTTTGGTTTATTTTGGGTAATATCTTTTTGCCGACCACATTTTAGAATTTCGTATGAATAAATGTATTCTTTGATTTATTGGTTTGTTTATTTTGGTCAATCAATTTTCATTTTTATTCGTAAAATGAATATTATTCTTTGGTAATTGGTTTGGTTTATTTTTTTTACGGCATATTCAAAAATGGAACAAGATTTTTTGCGGGTAATATCTTTTTCTTTTCCAAAAACTGTTGCGATTTTTATTCCAACGTTCAAAAATAGCTGTTTTTTTCAACCAGTTTTTCCCAGTTTTTGGGGATTAACTATTTATCCATAGTTGGGACCCTAATAGGTGCTACCTGTGGACCTGGGAAAAACCAGGAATTAAGAGGAGTTTCACGCTCCTCAAAACCTACCCATCTTGCTGTCTTACCCAGGACGCGGATGTAGTTTATCGTCATACCCAGGACGGTGGCCACATTTGGCAGATCTCAACTGTAAAATGATGGGACCTAGCTGCCAATCCAGTGATGCGCTTAAATTCATGAAAGTCAAGGTACCAGAGAGGATTGCTCATTTGAAAAATTACCATGAAAATATTTATAGAAAAGGGCACAGTTTAGCTATATTGCAGCGATGGGAAAGTGACTGAAGCCGAGATGTCAGGTCAGGATCGATAACATTGCAGATTCTTTTTTTTTTTCGATTTTATCTAGAATCTCTAAAAATATAGCCGAAGCACCAAACCGGATGTGACAACAATTTTTAATGCCTGGGCGAATGGTAGACTTATAAGGGTTAAGATGGCTCCTGTAGTGAAAAATTGTCTCGCTCGATACAGTGAACAACATTCCTAGCGGCAGAGCTGGCAATTGATTCAGTGTAATCATTTCACTTCATGCTAGGGGAAAACCTGAGCCCACAATCTGGCTGAGATATTATCCGAATATTAGCTTTTCTTTCTTTTTATGTTCCATGTCCTTTCAGAACGTAGACGATCATGGCTCTCCACCTCCTTCTATCACTTGCAGCTATTAACAAGTTCCTTTCCTCTGCCTCCACTCCCAGACCACGTTCTGTCACCCACCTGCTCAAGCTCGTCAGGTATGTCATGTGCTGTTTTCCCTTGTCTGTCTTTCCCTCTATTTGACCTGTGAGTATCAGATTCTCCAGACCCTCCTTCCTCATTATGTGTCCCAGAAACTTCAGCTGCCTTTCCTTGATATTAAGTATAAGCCTCCTCCTTGTTTAGGACGTAGGCGATCATGGCTCTCCACCTGCCTCTATTCGTTGCAGTTCTCAACAAGTTATTTCCCTCTGCTTCCACCTCCAGACCACGTTCTGTTATCCACTTGCTTAAGTCCGCCAGGTATGTCACACGTTGTTTACCCTTGTCTCTCTTTCCCTCTATTCGAACTGTGAGTATCAGATTCTCCAGGTCCTCCTTTCTCATTATGTGTCCCAGAAACTTCAGCTCTTCCTGATGTTAAGTATAAGCCTCCTCCTTGTTTACATCCTCTTTAAGACTTCATCGTTGCTCACACGCTCGGTTCGTGATATCCTTAGCATCCTTCTGTAGAACCACACATCCGTCGCCTTGAGTCTCTTCTTTATCTTTGAGGAAATCGTCCAACATTAAGGAAGGACAGATGTCACGTAACAGCTCAGTATTTTTTTCTTTGTTATCAAAATAAATCCCCCCTGTCATGCAATACTCTGCCCAGCTTTTGGAATGCGTCCTTGGCCATCCCGATACGTCTACGGATCTCAGCATTACAAAACATCGCTGACGCTATTAGCGAGGATCTATATTTGCAATAGATGTGTAACGATAAACGAGACCCTTACTTTGTGTCCGTCAGGATAGTTAAGCCAATTCTTTATCATTTTTTTTAACGGTATAAGATAGACATCTTGCTGACAATTTCCTAGCCTGAAGCCAAAGATATAATTTTTCTTCCGTGACATTTAACCTACGAATTTTTTTCCGGACACCGGTGAAAATCGAGACATTAAAAGAATCGTGTTGTCTTTACATTTTTAGTACGAATATTAACTACCAGAGGGAGCTATAAATATCAACTTCTCAATGATATTTTCAAACACCTAGAAAAATATAATTCGGCGTTATGTCTATGTTAATTGGCGTAATAAAAAAAAAAGAAATCTAGGTTTCCCCAAATAAGGGAAGGCTTCAAATATTTTGCGACATCAACCCAGATATTTCATAAATATTATATTTATTATTATATTTCAATAAATATTTCAATATAATTTCCACAAGCAAAAATTCGACTTACCTATAGGATCATCTATTAGGAATGTCCTTGTCTTTTGTTTGAATTTTTAAAGACCGGTCTATTTAAACGCATTCTCCCTAAAAACTCTATTTGCCAAAGATTCACTGATGGCCTTCTTTTATTATATCCTCATATATATATATATATATATACACACACACACACAGAGGGAAAGAGAGAGAGAGAGAAATTAGGAGATCCTCCGATTCCGCTACCTTCTGTTTACATGGATGATTTCCAAGCAACGATAAACACGTGCATATAAGACGCTGGAAGCGAAAATCGCACCATAGCTCATGACGTCACATATGACCATGCGAGAGTGAATTCGAGAAGTATTAAGTATGGGAAGCTGTTGGTATAAACCAATGGCTTCTGTTACCAATTATAGACATTTAAGGATATTTGTGAAGATTTCATAGTTTATTTTGTTTAGGTTAGGTTTCAATAGATAGATAGATAGATAGATACAGACAGACAGACAGACAGACAGACAGAATTAGAGCATCCGATTACACTACCTTGGTTTCAACCTTTCGGTACTTCAGGCGAATTCGGTCAATTGATTTCCTAACGTTTTATTTTTTTTTTTTAATAAAAAATTTATGGACGCTATATTTAAAAAAAAATAAATACAGTGTAACCCGGATATAAGAGACCCGGATATAAGAGAAACCCGGATATAAGAGAGATTTTCTCTGGTCCCAAATTAGAGTCTGTGTTAATGTATATAAATTAGACCAAACCCGGATATAAGAGAAACCCGGATATAAGAGACTTCTTCTCCGGTTCCGACAACTCTCTTATATCCGGGTTACACTGTAAATGAATAAGCGCACGACGTGAGGTGTGTTAGAAGGTGTTGAAAAAGACGAGGGGAAAATCAAGTGCATTGGAAATGTATCTGTGATGAATAAAATGAGATATACGTAATTTCTTTTCATTCCATTTCATCCCATAAATATTTATTTCAATAAATATTTCAATTTTTCTAGAAGTAAAAATTCGACTTACCCATGGGATCACCTATAAGTAGCATCCTTGCTTGTCTTTTGCTAGAATTTTTAAAGACCAGTCTATTTAAACACATCCTCCCTAAAAACTCTATTTGCCAAAGATACACAGATGGCCTTCTTTTATTATATCCTCATATATATATATATATATATATATATATATATA